GTTTTGGGGAAAAATCTGTAATTATACGTTATTGACCACTCATTTTAATAAGGTTTCTTCGATAACTAAAAAAAATCGTTTCACTTTTTTCACCTCTAAGATCACGCAATAAATAGAAACGTTTCAGATATACTTTCTTTCTTTAGCCTAAGATATTAGAAATTTGAAAAGAAACCGAAGAAATATTTGCCAAACTATTTAAAAAGTAGTACAAAAGTAAAAAAAAAAAAGGACTGAAGTGCGAAGAACACGTTATTTCGGAACAAACAGTGTAACGTAGATAAACGCTGATATATATATATATAAATGATGTGAAAAATATTTCTAAATATAGATTGAAAACAATCTAAGGGTTAACATTAATAATTGCATTTTGAACCTGGTATTTTGAGTTTGAGGCTAAAACGACGATATATCTTAAGAATACAAGTTGATGGACTGAAGCAACACTTTGGTTTATTTATTTGGTTCATATCATTCCCGTTAAAGACAGTAATATTAGACTTCTCGTACCTAGCTGCTATTGGTTGCTATGGTGACAGACGTCTACAATAAGCTAGTGAGAGAGATTTAAGTATCCACGAGAAAGAGAACTAAGTTTCACTTTGACTCCAAGAATAAAACACAGAACGACTCTGTTATCTAAAATTACTGAAGTGTAGTTCATTCTCTGACTTTACTCTTACGGATAATCTCAATCCATACGAATACTATGTAGTGAAGCCTGATCAAGATGGCTGATTACAATAAGATTCTGTAAAATATATGATGAAATACACGAACTATCTGATATATCAAAAATTAAAACAAAAGTTCGTTTTTGTAAGACAAAGTAATCGTTGCCGAATGTACTTAATGTCTGAATGTTATATCAGATATCAATTAAAAACTTCTCACAGAGAGAATTGTGTTAATCTGACAAATACAAAATCTAATATCTTGGTAAGTAACTATCAAGTTGCGAAACCGCTAAAAAAATGAGCTTATACAGTGTACATATGAATATTTTCAAAGATTTCCTCTTTTTTTTAACGCAAGGATACAAACGATGAGCTACCAGAACGCTATCCAATGCAGGGAATCGAATCTAGGATTATAGGGTTACAAGTCGACAAACTTACTTCTGACACATCAAACAAGACAAACGGCATATTAAGCTTTAGTTCGTTTACTTTATTACACATACA